CTGATTGATGGTGTGTTTGGACACCTGGTAGCTGACAGATGGTTTATGGCTGAATGAATTAAGGCTTGTCATCATTTTCATAACAGAATTTATAGCAGTAATTATTATACTTTATGTAGCATTCCTCCCTGTAAAAGTTATCCTAATTGGTCTTTTAAAACGTGCCAGTTACTAAAGCCTTTAAGAAGTGCAGAGATGATTGAACACATGGCACAGAGAAGACTTCCCACCCGTAAGTGAAGCTTCCCTTGCAGAGGGACACATAGCTGACAGAAAGAGGAGCACATCCTCCTAATTTTCAAATTCCTCAGTGAGGGATGAGCCTGTTTGATACAACCACCACCAGTTGAGCTCCTCTACCCTCAGCCTCAGCACATGCAAAGAGGTTCCCAGGGACATGAGCCAAATTTTCCCACCTGGAAGCAGGGCTGCTGGCTCCTCCAGCTGGCTAGTGAAAGGACAGGTAGTCAGGAAGCAAGGGCATGCCAGGGAAACACATAGCCCTGACTAGGAATGAGCTGCAATGGTGATCAATATTCTGTTTTTTCTCACTACTCTGTTAGATACTAAAGTAAATGCTGCTGGAATGGGTATATCCTCCATGTGTCCAAAGAGGAAAGCTAAGAAAAATCTCAATGTGAGAAGAGAAAATGGGTAATCAAGACAGAAACACTCTCTAGAAGGAAATTTTAAAAATTCATAGAAAGGCAGAAAAAACTTTGTATTTTTTTTCCACTGGGTTTTGGAGTAAGTGCTTTTTTAGGACCAACAGAGAGATGGGACTGGATTTGGGAAGTGAGTTACAGACTGAGTCCAGTTCCTGAATGTGAGGTCCAGGACAGAGCTCCAGCCAAAGCAAAAACCATTTGAATTGCAGAGAGCTGAACAAAGCAAGTAGCTAATAAGCAAGAATGAGCAAATCAGATAAATTGGTAGAGCTCTGTTCAGCACAGCTTTCGCTGACCTCGGCACAAGTAAAGAGCTGCTGTTTAAAATGAATGCAAAGCCAGATGCTGGCAAGAAGAGACGAATATGTATGTGATTCAAACTTCTCTAATGGAGCTGGATCAAAGGACTCCTGCAGAGGAGGAAGGCAGGAGTGTCACTTTCATTGCTTTCAAAGCTGGTGCTAAGTGTAGAAGAAACAAAGCCTTTGCTTCCTTTAAAGCTTGCAAAGCCTCCACTTTCATGCTCTGCTGTTGCAGAGCATATGAACCTCTCCTGATGTCCAGCCCAAGCACTGGAATTTCTTTACCAGTTAACTCACAGGGAGGAGCAGTGTTGGAGATGTTTTACCCTGACAATACAGGTCTGCACAAGAGAAATATTTCCCATGTAGTACAAAGTAGCTTGAAAATAGCCACTCCCCTGCTTTAATGTGAAGAGCTCTCAGCTGGAAGAATGTAGACCTTGGGAAGTGTGTGTATTTAGGAGGAAGAACAGAAAAAAAATTGCATGTTGGAGCCTTTAGTCTGCCAGGCAAAGGGCAAATTTTTAAATAGAGAAACAAACTTGCAGTAAGGTTTCCAACAATGAGAATTTTTTTTTTTTTTTTTTTTTTTTGGAGCAATTGGGTAGGCAAAGAACAAGTCAAAGTGATGGGAGTGATTAGAAAGGAAGAACTCTGCTGTCTGAGTCAGTACTAACCTAATCATAGAATCATAGAATTTTGTGAGTTGGAAGGACCCACAAGGATCATTGAGTCCAACTCCTGTCCCTGCACAGGACAGTCCCAAGATTCAGACCATGTCCCTGAGGGCCTTGGCCAAATGCTGCTGGAATCTTGTCAGGCTTGGTGCCATGAGCACCTCCCTGGGGAACCTGTTCCAGTGCTGCACCACCCTCTGCCTCAAGAACCTTTTCCTCATGGTCAACCTCAACCTCCCCTGGCACATCTTCTTGCCATTTCCCCATGTCCTATCATTGGTCACCAGAGAGAAGAGATCAGCGCCTGCCCCTTCTCTTCCTCTTGCGAGGAGATAGATATGTTTCAATATACATCTCTTTGTGCAGCAAAATGTGCCTTAAAGCTGCTATGAAGAGATATCTACAATCCAGTGGAAGCCCCTCACTGCTTACTGTAACCTTAAAAATGATAAATGTTGGTAAATTTTAGACGCCAAGAGAGTTTTTTATTTTAATCACTCAGGATGCATGGTGTGGATGGAAATATTTTAGTCATGGTTTAGGGGAATTGTCAGTGTTAGATTAATGAGTGGACTTGATGCTCTTATTGGTCATTTCCAGTCTAGGCAATTTTGCGATTATGTTTCCAGATCTTCCAGTAACTACACGGGGACAGTGTGCAAAGGGCAGTCTTCTTTATCTTTCAAGTGTACACTGTGCTAATACTTATCCAAAGTTTAAATGTGTCAAGATACTTAGGAGGAATATATATGCTGGTACAAACCTTAAGGTCTTTGTTGAAGACCCCTTAAAAATCACGCTTTACCACTGGAGAAATTCTCAACAGTAAACACATCTGATGGTTGAATTTTCAACCCCTCTTCCTAAAGAGACAGATCTGTTTCTTCCTCCCATTCTTCTGTTGGTGCTTCCTTCAGATCTGACAATGTAGTAGTTCATCTGAGAGGTACTATGTGTGACAGAGTAACCAGTTTTGACCAGTACGCTGAGGTACAGAGAGGACTAACATTTACATCAAAACCAAAACCCAAACCAATCTAGGAATTCCCAAAGGAGGTCTGTCCTATGCAGACATTTAGTTCAAGTCTCAGCAGCACCTTTCTGACCTTGGAGTTGAAGGAAGAGAGAGGAAGTGCAAGAAGATTAGGAAAAGCATCATATCTTCAAAAAGACTAAGGACAATGCAGCATGCTACAAGGAGAGGCTGGAAACTGCCAGGACTGGAGAGAGACTTGGGTAGTTTGACTTTGTGGTTGCTAATCTAAAAGGGAAATCAAAGATACATCAATGCAGGCAGATGGACTAGTCTCAGTAAACATCCCTTCTGCTCTATGATGCTTGGTGTGAAAGGGTTCAAGGGTATCCCGGGTTCCTTATGACCTTGTTCATGCCCACAAGGCAAGGAGTTTCCTATACTGGTAAAGGAATGTGTTTGGATTCATGCGTTATGGAAGGGTTTGGGACAGGTCTATGATGCTCTTCAACGTAATACAAAAGCCAGACTTACGCTAACGTTAGTTTTATCACTTCCACCAGAAGAAATACTCCATCGTTTTATAACCTAAACATACATAAAAGAGAAAAAATTTCTTTTGTTGTTACTTTAATCCCTGGTATCTGCATTTTGCCTTCTCAGGGCAAGTTGAAAATAGGGTATGATTTCCAGTGGGGTCCTCAGCAGCAAATGGTAGAAAAAAGGGTGAAAAAAATCTATTTATTTTTCTTTGTACTGCTTTGGATGTTTTTAAACCAATACCCACTACTGACTTGCCAATACTGATCTTCACAAGCTTCCCCTCTCGGGTTAGATCCAAGGGAAAATCACAACTTGAAAAAGATTCAGTCAATATGCAAAGGCCACCTTCATAGCTTCTTTCCAGCAGTTCAAAGCTCCTTGATGCTGACACTGGCATCTTTAATTCTACATAGATGCATCTCTGAAATGCTCAGAACATCTCAATCTATAAAATGCTCCTGCAAACATATCATAGATTAGCTTTGACATGGTATTTAAGTATTTTTTTTATTTTATAGCTGTGTCATAGCTAAATAATAGAAAAAAAGCTGAGAGATGACGTTCAGTGAAATGCATCGGGACTCTGGGCTGACACAGGCTTCTTTGATCTGAACCTGCCTGCTAGATTCACTACCCCTCTCATTCTGTAACACTGGCCAGCCCATAATGACACCTTGCCACACACAATAAAAGTGGGATTTTCTGGGCCCACGTCTCTGGAGTTCAGCACAGCAATGCTATGAGATCTGAATGCAGACCAAAGACTCTGTAGTGCTCTGATTCTACAAAGAATCAAACTAAACCTCTTGTTCAATCATCCTCTGAGCTCTAATGGAGTCCCCATCAAAACAAGCCCCATTAGTGCCACCTTGGCCATGTTGCAGGTGACTATGCATCCTGGATCTGACTTTTCTTGCAAATGACCAAGAACTTTATAAATAGCTCATCTTGGCCCCTTCCTGAGTGCAGGTACAACCCAAATTTCATTTCTTACCACCAACCTGGCTCTTACCACTTGTTTTTCCCTTCTGCTGGAGCAGAGATACTTCCTTGCAACCTTTCAGCTTTTGCCCAGCAGGTCTAATGGGCTGAGACATGGGGGAGGTGCCATCATCCTGTCTCTCCTTATTTATGTTATCCACATCACTTACAGGCTCCTGATATCTGTTTCTAGTACCAAATTTCTGTCCTGCCCAAAGGCTGTGAGGTCTTTCCCTCAGCCTGCCACCCTCAAAGTCTCTTCTTTCCCTGGAAGTTTGCTCCTGCTAAGGAAAGCTGTGTATATGGTGACCAGTTGCCACAAATACCCTTATGCTATATTTAATTAGCATGCAGTCCCCAAGAAGTGCTGTCACCAACACAGCTTAAATCCCATCTCTGCTGCCTTGGCCTCCAACTCAGTTCATGCAGGTGGGGTAGATGACTCCTGCTGTCCCCACCTCCTGCCCTTTCCACCTAGATTTCCTCAAAGCTGTTCTGCTTTCAGTCCCTAGCTGTGTGTGGATGTATGGGGCACTCAGAGATGACCTGAAAAGGAATGCAAAGAATAGACACAGACACAGGGAGCAAACACAAAGAAGAAAACACAGACTCTATTCACCATGAACAGACATGAGGACAGACATTCTCCTTCTGGGCTGCTGACCATTCTGTAGATAAGCTAGTGGTACCTTTGTGACCATCCGTGTCCTTTGTGGTGCACATGTGCTTGTTGCAACATGCACAGACAGAAAATCAAGTATTCAGTGAGAGCTCCTACACTTTCCTGCTTCTTCCTGTGCTTTTGCTGGCACTAGGGGGCTTTAGGAGATGATGGTTCTGGAAGTGTCTGACTAACCTTGCTGTCCGTTGTTGGAGATTCCTTCTCCTTCTCTGCGTGCTGGAGTTTTCTGTTCAGGTCTTGGAACATGTCTTGGTGACGTTTTCTTGTGTGCATGATTTTCTGAAGCAAACACAAGGGCCACAGGTCAGCAAACCCTCTTCAGCTGTACAGAAAGAACACATCTTCCCCCCAGAGTTTCATACATTATTAAAACCTAGCTCTGTCTCCCTGCAGGTGCAATCTGGCATGCCTAAACTACCTTCAAAGTTCACTGAAGACCTAGTGTAGCATTGCTTTTATTTCCAGGATTAAATGGTGGGAGAAAGTAGAAAAGACTAATTTTTGACCTTATAGTTACCATAAACCTGGAACTGACAACTGTTCACGCTGCAGAATTGGTACTTGACAGGCCATATTCTATTAGCTAGACCTAGGAAGCTTTGCTGACCTTCTTTAACTGATACCTGAACTCATGCCCACTCTGTTCTCAGTGTGTCTCCTTTGCAAATGTGTTCAGAGCTTCCTCAAACATGATGAATTAGAGTAAGAAGTTCCATCAGAAAATGATTCTATAAATATCTATGATTCTATGAAAATATTCCACAATTTCCTTTTCTTCGTATTTTGGCCCTTCTGCATTTCACTTCTACTGCCCAGAAGGAGAAGCAGGACCAATTTATATAAGGACTTCCCTTTGCATGTAAGAAATGTTGAATATGGCTTTCTTGAGCTCTGCCAAGTGCTATATAATTGGAGAAGGTGGCTCAAATAGTTTGGGACCAACTTGAAGGATCAGCTTGGATGTACCCACTGTGTCTCTGTTTCAGACCAAACTCACAACCTGGAGCTCTGAAATCATTCTAGCATTAAGGCAACTCCTCATGGGCCCTTAATATGACTTTCTTTTGGAATAAGTTAGCAGCTTTGAAGGGAAAAAGGGTATCTCTGACAGGAAGGATGCCATGATTGGACTCAGGATAACTGCACTGGCTCTCAGTAGCCTCACAGACCTTGTGTGGAGGGCTGGGTCTTTCAAAGGTTTCCACTCTGTGCCTCAGGTGTGAGGACAGACATTTCTTTATGTACAGTACAGACTTTTCCCATCTAGGCTGATTCTATGAGGTTCACTAATAGGTGTGAAAGACCAGAGCTGATGATTGGTTGTGACAATGGGGACATATTAGCTTCCTTTCTGATAAGCAACAGCTCTTGTGCTCAAAAGGCAAGGTATGTCAGACCACCAACCAAATCTATGTGTGCTTCCCAAACAGGAACATGGTGCAGTCACCTGATGCTACATCAGCTCTCCATAAATATTTTGCTCACAGGAGGGAAGTTACAGGTCTTGGGCAAGCTGACAGATCTTGATTTACAAATTTTTACACAGAAGCTACTGGTCCATAAATTAAGTATGCACCAATATAAATTACTAATTTGTTTAGCTGCACAGGGTAAGCCTTGCTAGACATCCAGTATAACTCTTTTAACCCACCGTTTTTAAAAGCTTGAAGAAGTTCTTTGGCAAAAGCAGCACTCCTGCAAAGGTGCCAGAAAGAAAAGAAAGCAGCATTTCTTTTTTCTTTTATCTCTAGAAAAACACATTGAGAAAGGGATGTACTCACCTCAAAATCTAGCTCTGCGTATCGGGATTTCCGCCTCTGTATATTCAAAAGAAAAAAAGATGGCTGAAGGTTAGTAAGGGGTTGATGCTTATGAGTGGACACAAACTCAACCACACAGGTTAAAAACCAGGCAGAGTCCTTTTCCTTCTTCCTACACCTTTAAAATGTTTCTCTTGCTCTTCATGATGGAAAGTGCCAGCCATTTAGAGGGATCTCTACCAAAAAACACTAAGCTTTGAGGAGGGCTGAGCATGGGCTGAGCATAGGAGTTTGGCCAATTCAAGCTCTGTTCTAGTTATGAGCTTGCAGGTCATTCATACAATGGGAAGCAGAGAAGGAGCAGTAGATCAGTCAACTGATCTACTGGGGCTTTTGAGCACCAGTCAGCTAAGACTGAAGATTGGACAGCAATGGCCGAGACCTGCTCACTGACAATAGGCAAGAAAAGTGTGGCCAGCAGGTCGAGGGACGTGATTCTGCCCCTCTACTCCGCTCTCATAAGGCCCCACCTGGAATACTGCGTCCAGTTCTGGAGCCCCCAACACAAGAAAGACATGGACCAGTTAGAACGAGTCCAGAGGAGGCCACAAGGATGATCCAAAGGCTGGAGCACCTCTCCTAAGAGGACAGGATGAGAGAGTTGGGGCTGTTCAACCTGGAGAAGAGAAGGCTCCGGGGAGATATTACAGCACCTCCCAGTACCTGAAGGGGACCTACAAGAAAGCTGGGGAAGGACTTTTCATGAGGGCAGTTAATGACAGAACAAGGGGAAATGGGTTTAAGCTGAAAGAGGGGAGGATTAGATTAGATATTAGGAAGAAGTTCTTCACTGTGAGGGTGGTCAGATACTGGAACAGGTTGCCCAAGGAAGTTGTAGATGCCCCCTCCTGGAAGTGTTGAAGGCCAGGTTGGATGAGGCTTTGAGCAACCTGGTCTAGTGGAAGGTGTCCCTGCTGATGGCAGGGGGGTTGGAACTGGGTGATCTTTAAGGTCCCTTCCAACCCAAACCATTTTATGATTCTATGATTCTATGAAAAGGGCCAGGTGCCCTAGGACACACATCAGCCTAAGATCTAAGGTCTAGGGAGAACTGTTAATGTTACGTGATGAGTTATCACAGGTCAGAAGGAGAGGGCTGCACTTGTACAAAACCTCTGACATCCCTCTGATGTTAAGAGCATTGTGTGGAACGCCTTAGGGACATTTTACACTTGCAGTCACTAGGGTTTTCTCATCTGTATCATGACTGAAGTCACCAAAATGGGAAACAGAGGCACAGGATTGAAGGAGAAAAGGTAATGCAAGCCATGTCCTCTGCATTAAAATGAACAGCCTTTGACAAAACTAACATTTTTATTGGACTTGGCATTGCCTGTAGGGCTAAGGACAGTTCATCCAGCAATGGAATATATCTGTGGAATTCATGAGAGATTTTGACAGTGATCTCTCATGATAATATAACACTGGCATTGCATGGTGGGCTGCATTTCACCTAAGGTGCTTCTCTTGAAACAGTTAATATGGTCAGCATTGAGGGCACGGTATCATTCTGGGCTGAGAACAACACAGTAATTCACATGCTTACCTCCAAGGAGCTCATGGAGAGGGTGGAGACGGTCTCACTCTTGGACACCACACCTGAGTTCCCTGAGTCACCTGTGTCACATAGGCTGTTGGGAATCTGTGACTCGTTAGGGATATTTTGTGGAGCCAGTTGCTGCTGTTGTTGTATCATGGGGGAACCTTGAACTTCACTGCATGTCATGGTTACAGGCTCCCGTGGAGGACTCTTGACAACAAAGCCTGGGTCAGTAGCCATACTGAGGTGGATGAGTCGTGTCTGGGGCATCTGGTCAATATTGATGCTGTATTTGCTCTCGTCTTTGGGCGGTTTGGCCCGTAAGGTAGACGTGTTGGTAGGCAGAATGACATAGCTGGTGTCCAGTGTTTGCTCTTGTGCTCGGGAAAGTTCTGAGTCCAACTTCTTGAAGATGTCCCCATCACAGATGTAGATGGACTTAGGTGGCTGGTTCTTGTCCTTCTTCAAAGTGAGACTGTGATTGCTGAAGTCATTCAGGTTGATGGCTCCCAGGTAGTGTGGTGAGCCCTGAAGATGCATCTTGGAGACATTGGCTGGAAGACTGTTAAAGTTTGATGATCCCTTCTGGTGATTGAGTTTCAGTTTCTCTTCATCTGGTAGTGATGGACGCTTCAGTGTTCCTGTTATGGTTGAGGTCCTACAGGTGGTGATGTCTTTATTCAGCACTAGGGAGACAGAGAAATATCCTTAGCACCTCATGTAGGTTTTTGTTACCACATCAATACACCTACCACAGTCACACCATGCTAGTATGTTTCCTTGGACCTCTCAGAAAAGGTTTAAGGTGGCAGAACAGTGTTTTATACTGTTGCTTGGTTGAGTTTGTTTTGTTTTGTTTTTGTTTAATCCAGGATGCCAAAGCTGGCTAAAGCTAAAGCTAGGGAGGAAAAAAACTTTCTTATTTTGAGACACTTGTCTGTGATGTGAATTTTCCAACACAATCATGACCAAAACTCTCAACTTGTCATATTGATAACAATATCTTGAAAAGTAAATACATGTATATATATTTAATACATGTAGTATATGTATATATGTGAAATATATACATTACCAGCCTATGGAGAAGTAGAATCCTACAGGCTTGCTTTCATATCAGAAATTCTTTTGATTCAGAAAACAGCTGAAATGCAGCATTATCAATTATTTCAAATGTAAATATATATATTTTTAACCTCACTGAACTGCTTCAGGTTGTTCTATTCCCTCGAACAGTTTCAGTGTCAATAATTTGGTATTTTAAAACACACTACATTTTGTTATGAATTTCTAACTGCTCTCCAAAAAGCTTATGTTCTAGTAATCATGGCAAGCCTTTGTGAGCACTAATTATTTAGTGTTTTTCAATTTCCCTTGAGGAAAGAAAGGAATGCCATGAATATTCTTTAATAGGAAAGGAAAACTTTAAACTGAGAACGATGTGAACATGCCAATTAGGAAGTATATAAAGGACACACAGACACTCATTCCCACACAACACTGTCCACAACAAAACATCTGCTCCTTTTCTAGGCATAACAATCTATTGCTCAGTTGGTTCCAGGCTGTAACAAAGACCTTAGGAAGATAATGATGTCAGCCTTGATGTCTCCAGGGGATGGAAATCACAGACTCTGAGGCAGGGGCAAAGTGGTGTGGGTCTGAAGGTTACTTACCCAGTATTTCAGTGCAGGAAAAGAGAAATAAATGCATATTCCCATTTGACCCATCTCAGAAGCAAAAAAAAAAGGTCCTTTTACCTATTTTTTTTCTAAATGGTCAAGAGACAAGGATCTTTGGGGTAACCTGATACTATTCAGCTGCTCCACCTGGAACAGAGGCAGGACATGACAAAGGCATCCCATGGGACTGAGGACACACTAATTTTTCTACCAAATCGTACTAAGAGTGATGGGTGCTGGAAGAGCAAATCTCTCCTCAAAGACTACAGAGCAGGCAAGGCAGGATGACAAGATATCAAGTAGAATAAAAGAACTTTTGAAAAGCTTTTACAGCTAAACATACTGGGTGTAACTATGGCAGCTGCGGTCATCTTGACATTGCTGGAGGACTCACAAGGATAAATCAGAGCATTACAGCATATTTATGGCATACACTGCGGGAAGATGTTGCTGAAGTCAAACCCTTCACTTGGGAGCATCGGTAAGATTTATTGATTCAGGCTATTCTCCATACTCACATCAGCTGCAGAAAGTAGGTCTGGAGAGGTTTGCACTTGGCAATCTCTAAGCATGGAGCAAAGTGAGGTTTCAACACTGAGCCATGGACCAGTGTTCAATTGGGATTTCAACCCAATCCTACCAGTGAATCTAAGTGAGGAGGTTATGAACGGTATCAGGCATATCTCCAATTCATTATAACAAGAGAGCTGGTGCCTCCAGCAGAAATGATGGCCAGAAACCAATAAACAGACTTCTATTTTTTATTATTCTATAAGTAGACTGCATAGGATGATGCACCATACAGAAATGTCTCTGAAATGGGGACTATTATTAACTACTTAGCTTGACGTAGACTAAGAGTACTTTATCAGAGGAGGAATATCTCTTCAGGGAGACAACAAAAAATTGTATAGCTGTCTGCTGGCAAAAGAATGGAAACCTAAGCTGTTAGCAAGCTGCTGATCCAGGGTCTTTAGCCCTGAAATCATGTGAAAACAACCAGCTCCTTCCTTTCCTCTGGGAAGCTCAATTTGGAAGCAAGAAATTTTGTAGCAGATCTAGAAAGGTTCCTTTCTTGCAGGAGTTCAGGGTCTGCCTTGGTTTCCAGCACAAGGTGGGCTGCTGGCTGTGTAGCTGGTTGTGTATGCCAACATCCAGCCTGGATGTGTTCAACTCAGACCTGGTCTCACATGCATGTTTTTTGCACGTGATTTTTTTGGAACTGAGATCTTCAGTGTCAAAAAGGAAGGAGAAAGACAAATGAGAAGAGAGAGACAACTAGAAATTAGATTAGAGAGTGTGAGACAGAGATGCAGCAAGAAAAAATGAATAGACCCTGAAAAGAGATAAATGGACAGAAAGAGACCATGAAATAAGATATCACAGGGATAAGTGAGATAAATAGACCATGACTGTGATAAGCATAGGGAGAGTGAGCGAGGCAGAGAGAAGGACAGGAAAAGATAAATAAGATATAGATAGATATTAGATAGATAAATGATAGTGACAGTGACAGACAATACACAGAAGCACAGTGACAGAGACAAATGCTGACAGAGGTAGAAATACATAAATAACAGGTACAGCAAAACAGACAGCTGAGGACAGAGATAAATAAGTGATTGCAAGATAGCGAGAAAGAGATGAATTATAGATAAATACATTAGAAGCAGATAAATAAATGATAGATTAGATAAAGAAAAGGATAAATGGAAGGGGCAAGTAGATATGTATATAAAGAGAGAAAGAAGGAGAGAAATAGAAAAAAAGGAAGAGAAAAAGAAAGTAAGAAAGAAGGAAAGAAGGAAGGAAGGAAGGTATGAAGGAAGGAAGGAGGGAAGAAAGGAAGGAAGGAAGGAAGGAAGGAAGGAAGGAAGGAAGGAAGGAAGGAAGGAAGGAAGGAAGGAAGGAAAGGAAGAAAGGAAGAGAGGGAAAGGGAAGGAAGGAAGGAAGGAAGGAAGGAAGGAAGGAAGGAAGGAAGGAAGGAAGGAAGGAAGGAAGGAAGGAAGGAAGGAAGGAAGGAAGGAAGGAAGGAAGGAAGGAAGGAAGGAAGGAAGGAAGGAAGGAAGGAAGGAAGGAAGGAAGGAAGGAGAGAAAGAAGGAGGGAAGGAAGGAAGGAAGGAAGGAAGGAAGGAAGGAAGGAAAGGAAGAAAGAGAAGAAAGGAAGAAGAAAGAAGGAAAGAAAGAAAGAGAAAAAGAAAGAAAGAGAAAAAGAAAGATTATGAGATAAAGGAGAGGAAGAAAGAGAGAAAGAAATTTTTTAAAAAAAAGAAAAAAAAGAAATAGAAACTTTCTCATGATGGTAACTGAACACACATTATGTACTGTCCTTGGCTAGGGGAGATCCTGGTTTGGAAGATATGAATTATATGCAAGTGCCAAGCAAGCTGCTATTTTTCTTGCTTGGGAGAAGGGAGAAGTCTAAGAGGGTAAATTAAAGCCTCAATATCTACAAAGACGAAGAAAAAACAAACAAAACAAAAACAACAAACAAACAAACAAAAAAAACCAACAGACAAATCATCAGGCATACCAGGACCAGGAGAGGATGAAACCTGCAGAGACGAACAGGTGGTAAAGGAGAATCCAGACAGCACAGACACTCCCAGGGGAACCAGAGAAAAGGGAGTTATTGGGGAAAGGGACTATCAACTCATGCAGATCTTCAGGATCAAAATGCATGTGTGTGATTGAACACACACAGAGAGGTTCAGGCAAAGGAGGAGAGACCTAACAGACCTCCATATGTGTGCATGGAGCCAGGTGGAGTGGTGGGAAGGCTCTCCAGATTCCAGACCTTCTTAAAGACACCTCTCCTGAGCACAGAGCTTGAGATTGGTGTGACTGGTGTGAGCCCCTTGGGCAGGGGTTGCTAAAGCAAAGAAGGATCACAGTAGGAAGAGATGGATCCAATCTCTTCTTCCTTGATACTCTTCTCTGCCACCATGTTATATGGGCCACAGGTAAGAAATATCTCGGCAGCAAGGCTTAATCTGAGTTAAAAGGCCAAAAGAGCTATAGGAAAAAAGGGTAAGCAAAGCATACAGGAGAATTATGGGTGCTGCTTTCTTTTGGCCAGGGTTGAGAGTAAAGGCAGTCCACCCAAGTACATGCAAGCTACTAAGACACACACACAGAGAAAGGAAAAAAAAAAATGGCCTAGTTCAATCCCCAAACCAGGTCACTTGTTGATTCTCACCTGTGATGTGCTCACCTGATCTACAAGCCATATCCACGTCCTTCTCAAAATTGGTCTGAAAGACAGAGAACACAGAGGATGTGGTCAAACGGAGGTGGTGGGGGGAAAACAAGCCTTTTGGAAAATGTAAAATCCCACTTTAATTAGTGAGGTAGACATAACCATTGCCAGAAGAGTGGAGAAGAAATGTTTTTCTTGGGCTTTGAAACATGGCAAACAGACTACTTTTTTCCACCTGTGGCTTTGGAACCTCAGACAGTGGTAAAGCTGTAACACTGCTTTTCAGCTGGATTCCTCTGCTCATCCATACACTAATTCTTGGGCTTCCAGATTAAAATATCTCCTTGGAATATGTTTATGCACATTCCTATAAAAACAGGGGATAAGTTCTTGGTCTGATCTGCCTTGGAAATATCACCCCATGCTTAGTGTAAATGGATTCCCCTCCACTCATTAAAAAGATCTGGGGATGCTGCTGAGAACATTCTGTACCCACTGGGCTTTCTTGTGATCTATCACCTAGTCACATGAAGTGGAAACAAGTCTACTTCTGAAACTCTTAGCATGTAAAATCAATGGTCCCTGCAGGCACAAAGGCTGAACAACTTATTCAAGCGGTCTGTATAGCCAAATGAAACTCCTTTCTTCTCCCAGTATGACTTAATCCTTTTTTTAAAGCTTTTAGCAGATAACATTTCAAAGAACTGAATACATTGAGTCACAGTGGGCCATGAGTTTTCATGGAGTAATGGAAAGGCCACAGACTAGCAAAAGGTAAAAGAGTTCATTGATTATTTCTAATATCATTTTAGAAAGAAGACACTTAATATAATTGTATTAATGTGACTAAATGCATTCCAGTTTAATACTAAGAAGAGTGTGGAAAAAAAAATCCTCATCTCCCTGGGACAACCACTTTAATATTAACAGGTTGAGATCTAAAAGTTTTTGAAGAGCTGGTTGAGGAATTATCTCAACCTTCTCGATGTAAATTTCTTAGTAAATTATTTGTGATATCAAATAAACCCAAAAAGAATAGAAGAGAAATAAGACTGAACTAACGTTTAAATGGGCAAGTGGAATGACACAGAAAAATATAATCTCATTTTTATGATGGGACTTCCAGAAAAATGTAACTGAACAGCCTGTAGTAATTCTACTGATAAATAAATAAAAGGTAGTTCTATTTTTAATACCAGTCAACAAGATTTTTGGGAAAACAGTTCTACTCAGCTAAGCTTCTTTTCACTTGTTCGGCAGATTTGGAGATTACTGGAAAAGTTAATGGCAAAAATGACACATTTCAAAGCTTTTGATTTCTTTGGTTATATTACAACTCAGTCACTATTAAATAATATTGTACCCCTCTAAAAATATCAGTGAGGAGTCATCATTTGTGTCTAGATTCCAGAGCTTTTTGTGCTTGAATGTGAAGAAACTGATTCTAAACTCTGCTTCTCAACACATCCATCAACAGTGCATAAGTACATGTAATCTCATTGCTACAAAACTTGTAGCTGACACAAAATTTTGCAAGGTGGTTGATAATAAATGAAAACAGGGAGTTAGACAGAGAGCAAAAAATCTGAAACTTCAGAATATAAGACTGTGGTGGTTTTACTCCTTTAGGATGGTGACATCACTTAGGATGGTGACAACAGAATAACAAATATAGCATCCACATTTTTAAAGGAGTCTGAAGGGCACGTGGAAAAAGGATTATATAAGTAATTTGAAGGTAAATGTCATACCAAGGGAGAATAAAAAAGCTCAATGTGTTAACTTATTGAAAGGATGATGGAAACTGGATATGATTATGATATGTATTATTGAGGGAGCAAAAGTAATAGGTATGCATGGAGCTTTTTAATTACACATAAACAGATATAGCAAAAACCTGTCTGAAAATGAGAATATTATGCATTTAAATTAGAAATGAGGCATCTGTTCTTAACAAACACCTATGAGGTGTGGTAGAATTGTATATCTCTTATTGACTTGACTTTAAAATTATGATGTTTGAAATGAGACCTTGTACCCAAGCATAAGCTACTTAGCTTAGCACAGGAGTGACTGGAAAAAAAGCACCACTGGTTATGATATAGGTCTAATATTAACTAGATGTTCTTGGGACCTGTTCCAATCTTGTGATTGCCCTGATATCCTTACCCCAACTTCAGAAATTAAATGACTTTTATATCATCTACTTCATAACACTGAAGCAGATGCAAGAAAATTCCTCATAACTTATTCTTCTACAGCCTTATCTAGACTGATTGTAAAGGACTTACACAATAGGACTAAGGTTTACAGTGCTTAAACTACAGTCCCAGTGAAGCAACATAAATAAGTGTGCTTTTAAGCATAAGTCCCTTTAAGACAGCATCTTGATAATAATGACCCAACACACTGTGATTACAACAGTATTAAACTACTGTCTCCTAGCTTCAGTTAGCACAAGGCAGCATGACAGGGATGAAAAGGTTTGGAAGATGTGGGAGGTATGTTTTGGTTTTGTATTTTCTAGGACAGGAAGGATCTCAACAAGATGTCTGCAAAACCTGGTGTGTAAGTTTGAGCCCCCTCATATTACAATGAAAATAAACTGGATTTATGTGAAAGACCCTATGCTAAGTGCTACATTTGTTCAAGCGTGGGTTTAAAAGGAAAAAGAATGATGATTGTGACATCTATGATGGACAGAGCCCTTTGTTTATCAGTTATGAGTTAAAAATGCCCATAGGTACCTCAATAATAGACTAGGTGGTAGTTTTTCCTACCATTAGCTGAGCGTGTCCGTTCTGAAATGACCCCCCTGAGTCTCCGTTGCCCTCTTCCTGACGATCTACTACTCGGCACTTCACAGCATCCTGAACCTGCAGGAACAAAGGGATTTACAAAAGTCAGTGTCAGACAGGAATATCAAACCATATTAAAGTCTGCTGAGGGAAAAAAAATAATAAAAAAATCTTTATTAGATCAAAAGAACATGGATCCTACTATAGCAGCGTTCAGGTATTCATTTCAAATGGTTTCAAAAGGGGAGACCTTCTCGTTCTCTACAACTACCTGAAAGGAGGTTGTAAAGAGATGGGAGGTGGTCTCTTCTCCCAGGTAACAAGTGATAGAAAGAGAGGAAATAGCCTCAAGTTGCACCAGGGAAAGTTTAGATTGGATATTAGGAAAAACATATTCACCAAAAAGGTAGTCAAACGTTGGAACAGGCTGCCCAGGGAGGTGGTGGAATCGCCTTCCATGGTGGGATTTAAAAGACAGGTAGATGAGGTGTTTAGGGACATTATTTAGAGGTGGAATTGGTAGTGTCGGGTTTATGGTTGGACTCTGATCTTAAAGGTCTTTTCCAACCACTACAATTCTATGATTCTATGACTTATACGATACATATCTCACATTCTAACAGAGCAACTCAAAGGTTTTACAAGTATCCTGGGTCACTGTGTTGGTCACTTCTGGTTGCTTGATTTATCTAGTCAAGAATAAAAATGTCTTCTCCTTTGTAACTTGCAATATGTTTACAATGGATGCTATTGCATAAATCATTATATTTGTGTCTACAATATCTGATTATGGTCCTGTATTGGCTGTAATATATATCTGATCCAAAACTCACTGAAATCAATCTAAAAATATGTCAGTGACTGCAATGGTAGTTAAATGCAGGCTCATATTCATAATGCAATTAGTTGAAGGAGTCTCAGCCAAGCCAGTGGTGTAATTCTATTGATTTCATTGGCCTGACATAAGAAATTAATCTGTTTTACTTAATTTAAAGGAGCTGTAAGAAGATAAAATGAATATTGAAAAAAAACCCTCCTTCCTGTCTCTGTTATTAATAGTCTATCCACTCAGTAGGATGAAAAGAATAAAAGAAACATAAAAGATTCGTCCTTTTCTTCCCTGATATAATTTACCATTTTAAATCTCCACAGGGAGGCTGGAAAGAATTTACTCAATTTCCTTGCCTGATTATTGCTAGCTTTACTTTCTAGCTCAAATATCTAAGTGCTAATGCCAACATACAATCATTCTGTAAATCTCGTGCAAATTTCTGCTCTTGAAATAAAAACAAACAAACGAACAAACAAACAAAAAACCAAATTGTTTTTCTTAAAATTCAATTTTTAGAGATGGGGGGGTCTAATCAGCCTGGAAATACTAATTTTGGTGTTAAGCAAGCAAAACCTGACATGTTAGTTAATCTAAGACTGTCTTCCAAATTCCACTCTGTAGTACACTCAGCATGACAACCGTTGATTCATCCCTCCTTCCCTCTGACTGATACCGTCATGGTCATTTTTGTGGTCACTGTCTACACAAAGGCAAAAGTTCATAGGATTAGAGAAGCTACCAGGCTGATTGGACATTTTTCAGATGTTTTCTGTGGGAAGTATGTTGATTATATAAAGAGTCATTCATCTCACCTCCCGCCTTAGGATGCAATGGACCATAACAATGACAAAGCCCTCCAACGAGTCAAAGACGGCAAAAAGTATCTGAAAGAGTGCTGACCGCCGATCTGTGATTGCCAGAACTGCAGACATCCAGGTGAGAGCCAAGAGAGGTAGGACCACACAGGAGCTCCAAAGAGATGCCCTGTCAAGGGAGAGAAAAGGAGAATTCAGCTCCACTTCAGCCTCACCTGCTTCCACGTGGGATGCTAATTCAGCCTCCTGATCCCATGGGGCTTCAGAAGACTTCTTCAGCACACGTATACTTGTGCTAGATGTCTTCTGAGTCCCTGTCACAGGGAAGCAGGAAGATGTTTTGCACACTCACGCTGCCAAAACAGGTGACACACATTTCTATGGGAGGGACTACTTTTCAATGGTGCAATCATGCATAAAACTTGAGGTGGGGAGGAAGGATGCAGATACCTCACTCCCTCTTTCACGCCCTTCCCACTCTATGTCACTAGTCCACAACAACGATGGCATTTCCCAAGGAGGGGAGACAAAATACAATCACTGTAGGTTGCCAAAGGGAAGGGGAACAGTTGCAGCAGAGACTGGTTTGTCACGATGGCTGTCAGTACTTGGGTTACAGACACTTGCACTTCCACAGCACATGGAAGACACCAACACTGGGGACATGTGTCACGGTCTCAAGTGACTAAAACGGACAAGCATAGAGCTGATGTGGTGTTTTGCTTTTGCTCCCTTACTTTACAGTTGATGGTCCCTACAACACTACATCAATGAACATCAGAAGAACTGATTCCTAACCCAATTTTTCTGTGAATGGAAATATTCTGCTTTCTTGTGTGATCTCCCCAGCTGAATGCTTTGAAGAAAAAAAAAATACAGTTGCTTCTATATTTATCAATCATTGTAAATAAGTTTATTCTTGAGTGGACATTCTGGGTTAAAATAAGTTAATATTCAAGCCACTTCTTAACTCACAAGACAGAAAACCAGACAAAACAGTTTTCTGTAATGCAAGTACTGCCCCATGAACCTCCACTGAATCTGTGAATGATGGTTCTAGAAATGGGAAAGCAGCTTTGTTCCCATGGACTATTTAGTTATTCAGCTCTCTGACCAAAAAGGTTCTCAAGCAATTTTAACAGCTTACTAGGGAGATTTTAAGCTGTCAGTCATCCTATATATTTGGCAGCACTGGTGCACCAAGAATACCAGGAGAATTTCTCTGTGGGCTTTGATCTAACAAACAAGAGTAGACCTACGCACAGGCTGAATAAGAAGTTGAGCTTCAAGATTTCTCTGTGTAGAAAACCTCAACCTATATACTAACAAACAAATACAGGTAACACAATAAATTACAGGACAGATATCATGACACAGGTTTTACAGTACTTACATGGGACTTGCTTACCATTTTCTGATATATGGTCAAATTTTTAATAATGCTTACTTGCTGGTTATGTAGGTACTGCTCTCACAGATCTCAGTGAGAGCTTTACCTGAACAAAGGTGGAGCTTGGACACAGGTATGGACATCAGGATATAACGCCCTGGCTTCACAGTTAAGAGTTTTTCAAGGACTGTTACATCTGTTCTGCTGTAATGACCACATACTGAAGTGACAGGTTATTTTTATAAGTCATAATGATACTTTGGTTGCAAATACTTCTACAACCTGTCCAGACTCAGATGTGTTTCTTAGTGGTATTATTAAACAATATAATTTACTTAAGGGAGCAGGTAAATGAATTATTATTATTATTTTTTAATTAATAAAAGTATTATGAGACTTCCATGTAAGGTAAGGGCCATGACATAACCTGATACCTTGTAATTTTATACAGGATGACAAACTGAATGTTCTTTAATGTACAATATGAACTATAAATTCAGAGTATTAATTAAAAAATAAAAAAAATAAAAAAACAGCAGTCAGACAGCCTTCAACCAAACAACTCCTAAACAAAAATTTGTATTCTATTTCTCCCTCAGCCCTCTGAAATCTGCCTCTTATACTGAAATCTCTCTTTGCTATCATTTACAGTGGTGTATTAATAAAACTGGCTAAGCAGTAAATGCAACAACAACAACAAAATCAGAGAGGCAAAGCCAAATGAAAATAAAAGGTTTGCTCCATAACTTGCCACTCTAGATGTGTCTTCCATACAAGCATCAGCAAACACAACATGCCCACTGCATGGCTTGGTTGATGAAGTAATTCTAGTAGCAACTTGCAATTGTGATTGCTGGAAACCAGCCAAGTCAATAGAGACAACTCTGCTTCCTAGAATTATCTGGTCTCCCAGAATACTCTGAATACACTCGTACGTGTACGTTACTGCCACCAACGTGCAAGCAAAAAACCTGGCAACCACATCTGACAATGGATCTGACCTGTAAGTATGGGTCTGAACCCGCACAAAAAATTTGGATGGGTTTTCCATTCGTGAAAAGAACTGCAACATCAGCTTGACCATGGATTTGGGGTTGTAAGGGATGCTGCTTGAGGAGGTAAATTATGTTTCTCTTTAGCAAATGGTTAGATTTCAACCCACTGGCTTGAAACCTGCTTAAAAAAATATTCAGGCATTAACAAGGCACTGCTTGAGTAAATTTGATATCCAAAGCACAGATGCAATGATCTATAACTACAGTGGGCTCCCTTCAGATCTCCTGGTGCCTTCACACCAGACTCAGGGAGTCCTTCCCAGCTCTCTGCTCTGTATGTCTCCATATGGGCAAACTATTCAACTTTCTTCTGAGTTGAGACATCCTGATGGATTTCACTATTGCCCCCAACATAAGCAACATTAAATCACCACTTAAATCTCTGTCTTTCCAAACAGATGATGAAAATATCATCTGCCTTTCCGACTCAGATGATGAAAGCAGTATTACATCACAAATTCAGCTGGAGCAAATCAGGATTTTCTCAACTGAGATGTGCTGACTTACACCAGCTAAGTGTATGGCCTTTCTTCTCTCTTTGTGATTCACCTTGCAGATTGCCTTCTCAACAATATTCATCCCTTACAAACGTTATGGAAATGTTTGACACTTAATGTATAACCTTTATTCTCAGGCAGCAGATGGCAACAGGTCACAGGAATGTAATTTACTCTAATTTGACTTTCAGAGCTCTGCTAACTTGTGAAATATTAAAAAAATTTCCACTTTAAAAAAAAAAAAAAAGTCATATCAAGACTGAAATTTCAGAAGAAAACTCAGGGGAAGATAAGTGGGTTTCCTATGACATTGCCCTTAAATCTACTTATTGTGAGCTGAATTCATAGCAGAACTCATACTTCTGTCACCTTTCCATCTATCCCTTTTTTAGAAGGTACTGTGCATCCTTAAAAGGTTCCAGAATTGCTTATAGGATCTAAGAAACTTCACATTATGGTACCATGTGATGTGAAATAGTAATTACTTAATGACTCTTCATTATGGATTATCTATGATCAATACCTCCAGGATTTTTATTGCTTGAGACAAAGGAGTAAGCTGGTAGATCTTCTAATTTGTCCCATACATGAAGCACTCATGATGAGTGACAGCAATATCAAGGGAAGATCATTACACTGCATTGTGGAAGCATGATGCTCGTTTATTGTGTAATGATATGACATGACAATGTTATTCAGTGGTACAGCTGTAGCGTCACGTTGTTCCCCCACACCACACCGCACTACTGCTGCATTGCAGAGAAAGGGTGTTACTTTGGGATATGGCAATGCCACAGCACAGTTCAACTAAATATAATTACAATGACTTGTGGCAATGCGGCCACACAATAACATTGTCCATGGCTTTATCTTGCATGGCAAAGACTTAGCCTTATGAAATCACATAGCAGGCATAGCTCTGGTAACAAGCAGATGATGGTCTCTGGTCCAAAATGTCAAAAACTAGTGGTGGTTTTGTTCTTTAGCTAACTGGCAGCCTTGAGAGTCTTCATCGTTGCAAAAGAAGCAGGATAAACTGATGGCACTTAGAGGATAACAATGGAAAAAACAAAAACAAACAAACAAACAAAAACAACAAAAGTTTTTAGAAACAAAGATCAAGCAATCATAGAATGTTGTGAGTTGGCAGGGACCCACAAGGATCATCGAGTCCAACTCTTGCCCTAGCACAGGACAATCCCAACATTCAGACCATGTCTCTGAGGGTGTTGTCCAAATGTTTCTTGAATACTGTCAGGCTTGGTGCCATGACCACCTCCCTGGGGAGCCTATTCCAGTGCTCCACAACCCTCTGGCTGAAGAACCTACATGATCTACATGAAGATCCTGCAAGATCTACATGAAGGAAAATTAAGATACCTGCACCCTGAGAAAAGGTAAGTGCCGGGGGACACACAGAAGAAGCAGTAGAAGGAAAAATAACTTTATAATTCAGAAAGCAGATCATGGATAGGAGCTCTGAAAAGGGTAGGTGGACTTAACACATAAAACAATGGATGTCTCGTTACTTGCTGCACAGTGGCACATGCTGGTCCTCTATTCTGGTGAGTGTGCTATTCCTGTATCAAACAGTTCTGCTACAGGAAAAACACAGTACAAGGATTTACTTTATTCATTCTCTTATGTTTTATCCCTCCTCTAACTTGTATTCCTCCTAAAAGCAAGAGTGTTGCCCCAGTTTTAGGGACAGTTTCAGAGAAAATCCCTTTAACTCAATGCCCATATAATCATAGGAATTCTGTAATTAGAAAAGAAGGGGCATTGTGCATGTTCTTCCCATCCACAGGCAACACAGAAACACAAGTCATTTCTATTTTCTCCAAAAGATTATTCTTCTCTCAATTGCTGCAATCTGAACCATACCACTAAGGGGACAGGAAATCAAATGCCTCTAAAGGAGACAGTCGGGTAATGAAGTAGCTATGGCCAGACTGCTTGATTTTTCACCCCTAATAAGGGAAGTTGTTCTTTAACAGTCCAAGCAAGGACCTGCAAGATCCAAGTATTATTGCCAGGTAAGGATATAATTTCAAATTCCTTGAACTATGAGAAAAACACTTCTGAGGAACAGTCTCCTTCATAAAACTAGCCATGCATGGAAATCTTGATTCACATTAGTCCTGAAACTAAAATACTGGTGGAAAATTTGACTTCTAAGACTTCCTGAAATGACTTTCAGTCAAGAAAAAGAAAAAAACAAATCTCT